GCCGTGGGACAGTATCTGTGTGTGTGTGTGTGTGTGTGTGTGTGTGTATGCGTGTGTATGCGTGTGCGCGCGCGCGCGCACTTGTTTTTTTTTACTACCTTGAAAACTCTGTTATCAACTGTGGCTCTCCACTTTACGTTTTCAAACCTGTAGCCATTTGTCACCTAAGGTGAAGCTTTCTTGATCACCTTACTTGTGTATTCTTTCATAACACTATTCTTTCATAACTATTATCTTTTTTTAATCACAAATAAGCCATTTCCTTGGTAGAATAGAAACTCTACAAGCGCAGAACATTTTGTTGGTTTGTTTTATTTTGTAAAAATCAGTGTCTTGCTTTGTGTCCGAGCATACGCATTCAGTATTTTTGCTATCTAAACTTAAAAGTGCTGCTAATTTTGGTGATTCATAGAGCACATCTTTTTTATTTCAGCCAGCAGTATCTGTTGGGAATGTTGGCCAGCTTGCAATAGATCTGATTATTTCTACACTGAACATGTGTAAGATTGGTTATTTCTACACTGATTGCCTCGTACCAATGGTTGGAAACAATCCATATGCAACTGAAGAAGAAAATGCAGGTGAACTCAGTATAAACACTGAAGGTATGTCTGCGGCATGTTTTCCTACCATACAGTAGTTATTTGGGGTCTCACTATATAGCACAGGCATTTCTGGAACTCGTGGCCCTCCTGCCTCTACTACCTGAGGACTAGAATTATAGGTGTAAATAATCATGTCCAGCTTGAGCTCTTTTTTTATTAAATTTTTATTTTTTATATTATTTACAGTTTAGTCACTTTGTGTCCCAGCTGTAGCCCCTTCCCTCATTTCCTCCCAGCCCACCCTCATTCCCTTATCCCCTCCCATGCCCCTCTCCAAGTCCATTAATAGGGGAGGTCCTCCTTCCCTTCCATCTGACTCCAGCTCATCAGGTCTCATCAGGTCTCATCAGGACTACCTGCATTGTCCTCCTCTGTGGCCTGGCAAGGCTGCTCCCCCATCGGGGGAGGCGGTCAAAGAGCCAGCCATTGCCTTTATGTCAGAGACAGTCCCTGTTCCCATTACTAGGGAATCCACTTGGATACTGAGCTGTCATGGGCTACATTTGAGCAAGGGTTCTAGGTTATATCTATGAATGGTCCTTGGTCGGAGTATCAGTCTCAGAAAAGACCCCTGTGTCCAGATATTTTTGATTCTGTTGCTCTTCTTGTAGAGCTTTTGTCTCCCCCTTCTTTCATAAGATTCCCTGCACTCTGCCCAAATTTTGGTTATGAGTCTCAGCATCTGCTTTGATACACTGCTAGGCAGAGTCTTTTAGAGGCCCGCTTGAGCTCTTTTTAAACTCGGAATAGACTCTAAGGAACAAAGTACAGTGACAATGTATAAAATGCTATGATGAAGCTCACTAGTCTGTGCTAACTTAAAACAATAATTCTGGGCTGGAGAGATGAGTCTGTAGTAAGAATACTTGCTCTTCCCGAGGATCTGACTTTAGTTCCCAGCACCCACATCAGGCTGCTCTAGAGCCACCTGTAGCTCCGATTCTAGAGGCCCTGACATCTTCCAATCTCCATGGGCCCTCCACTCAACAGTGTGTGTGTGTGTGTGTGTGTGTGTGTGTGTGTGTGTGTGTGTGTG